TTGCTATGTATCATGCCTGACTGTATTATTGTATTATCTCTCATGCTCTCGATGACTTTAATATAATGCTTATATATCTCAACCGTACAATTGTGCATTACTGAACCCAGAAGTAGTATTACTGAATCAGAGTAGTAGTAATAGTAGTATTAGCGGTGGGGGCTGGCCCCCCACCCCCACCTCCCTCTGCATTATTATTTTTTAATTTAATACTACAAAGGCTGAACATGATAGTGGGACAAGAGGAAAGTAAAAGGAAATAGAGGAAAGATCTAGGAAAGAAAGGGCATTTATAAAGATCTAAATATAGGTATGCACATATGTAAATTTATTTACATATGACAATGAGGAAATAGATCTATGTACATATATTTATAGGTTTAGTATTAAGGAAGCAGATGGACATTGGACCTCTACTCAAGTACTCCCTCAACACAAGAACACTTTGTTCTAATCTGTTTTTTTGGTCTTTTTTATATTCACAATGGCCCAAAAGTTAAAATATCCAAAATGCCCAACTGTGGAGGAATGGACCAGAGCAAAACAACAACAACAAAACCCTTGTACATGCATACAATGGAATACTACATATACCTAAAAAACAATGATGAAACTGTCAAACACCTTATAATATAGAGGAATTTGGAAGGCAAAGTTAGTTAATCTCATCAAGACAAATACTGTATGAGACTACTATTATGAAAGGAAAAAAATGGTTTTCATACTTCGAAGTTCACTTGGAGGCCAGGGAAGGGAAAGAAGACAAATAAACAAATAAATATACACAGAGAGAGACACACCAGCTATACACACAAGAGATGAAATATTTTTTGTAAAAGAAAAAAAACTGAATTGGTAAGAGTAAGACCAGGAAATTTGCATTGAGGGTTTTTTTTGTTTTTGTTTTTTTCCCAATACAACAACAAGAAAAATCAAGATGATCATTAGGACAAAGCTCTCTGCTTATAGGTGACAATACTCATTATTATCATCACTGAGCACCATCTCTCTGTACACAGGCTGGGTGCTTTATAGGAATCATTGCTAATCATCCCAACTGGGGGAAGAAAAAAAAAAAAACGAAGACCATCAAGGAAAAGGATTGACAAGTGGCTGCAACCATACGTGTAAACATAGCCATGGTTGTGAGGACGATGCAGGACTGCTCTGTGCTCATTCTGTTGTACACAAGATCTCGATGAATCGGAGCCCACCAAGCTGCTACCATACGTTCTGCATAGAGCATTGTCAGTTATCTGTGCTGCTTCTGGATAAGGGCTATATCTAGAAGCTCCAAAAGAAGTCTCTACATTCAATGACAGCACAAAAGGATCTAAGAAATGCCTACTCCTGTGATGTTCCTAATATAGCTAGAAGAACTTTCTTTTTTAAAAAAATCATTTTATTAGGGGCTCATACAACTCTTATCACAATCCATACATACATCAATTGTGTAAATCACATTTGTACATTCATTGCCCTCATCATTCTCAAAGCATTTGCTCTCCACCTAAGCCCCTGGCATCAGCTCCTCAGTTTTTGCCTCCCTCCCCGCACCCCCCCCTCCCTCTTGAACCCTTGATAATCTAGAAATTATTATTTTGTCATATCTTGCCCTGTCCAATGTCTCCCTTCACTCACTTTTCTGTTGTCCGTCTCCCAGGGAGGAGGTCACATGTAGATCTTTGTCACTGGTTCCCTCTTACCAACCCACCCTCCCTCTACCCTCCCAGTATCGCCACTCACACAGCTGGTCCTGAAGGGATCATCCGCCCTGGATTCCCTGCGTTTCCAGTTCCTATCTGTACCAGTGTACATCCTCTGGTCTAGCCAGA